GGGAGGACTGACTGTGAGCACAGCGGCCATATCAAGGCCATGGCTCTCCTAGATGCGGAGGAGGGAGTCCTCTTAGAGGCTGGCAGGTCTCGATGCACCTTAGAGATAAAGGGAAGTCACTGTTCCAACATGGCCTTCAAAGGAAGTTAATTATGTGAGGACTGGCACTGCTCAAGAGATGAGCTCGCCTTGCTGTCTGATCCTGAGCCAGGGAGACCCAGGGAAGAGACAGGGAGGGAGTTGTTGATTTAAGGGTGACTCCACTCTGGTTGGGAGCCTCGAGGCTGAGACCGAACAGTCCTGGCCTCCCAGGAGCACGGTCTTCCAGCCGGTGTGTGCTCGGGCTTTCTCAAGCAGTGATTTTCCAGTTCGGTTAGGACTGTAAATCACTCACAGATCACCTCTCCACATGTCTCTTCACAGCATTTGTTTTCTTCAAGGAATCACTTAGCCATGTCATCTCCCCTATCTGGGTGCGTTTCCTGGTCTGACTGGGAGAAGGATGGCAGAGCCCATTTTCCGTGGGACCGCAGGGAGCGTTCGGGTGGGAAGAGATGCTCAGGCTTCTCCTGAGCAGCTCGCCCATTTGTGTCCTCGGCTTCCTAGCGTGATGGAAAAATCCATGTCAGCCACAATGCTTTGTGCCCAGGTGCTTGTGGAGTCTCACAGCGGGATGAGCCCTCAAGATTGCATTCTCCTGCTGGGCTTTGCAAACAGAACCCTTCACTCAAGCCTTGTGTTTGCTCCCAGGAGCTCACATCTGGGCCTTGCTATCTCTCTCCGATTCTCTGGATGGACCAGTGCCTGCGTACTTTCATGATTATGCATTCAAACGGAAATGCATTTTTTGTCAGACTGATTAAAAGGCAGCAGTTAGAAGTGTTTGCCTGGATTTCTTCCTGTTGATTTGCCTTCAGCAGGGGAGTGATGGGGCTGGGCAGTTAGTGTTGAGGCGGGAGTGCAAGCCTTCCTCAGTGGGCTGATGTGGTCAGCGCTGCTCTTTGTCTGGGGACAGTGCAGGAAATTGGCCCTGCACATCAAAGGCCAGTATGGATGGATCTCTGTCCACAGCTGGAGAATTTCTTCTTTTCCTCAGAAGCCTGAGAACAAAGAGAATCTTAACAATTTGGGGAAGTAACTGTATAGGGCATTTTTTCAACTGCATAAGGAGAGCGTTTAAAACTTGTGCTTCTGTTTTTTATTAGACACATCCATCTGTACATATGCCGAGCGGCTAACAGCTCGGGATGTTTGTCAGGAGCGGGTACTTAGAGTTTGGAGTTGTTAGTCTGTAGGCCAGGAAAATAAATTTCATACAGTACGACCAATTCTATTAAAATGATTAGGAAATGCATCAATGTGTAGGGAGGGCAAAGAGAATGTGAGTCCTGCGTAATGAAGAAACAATAATCAAGGAAAGAAGTAGATGATGTAAAATTTCTCCTACACTATTTATGAGTAATTTGGGAATAATATAGAATTCTCCTAACTTCTGGCTAATATGGTAGTCAAAATACTTTTCTGTTTTAATTTACTCATATTTTGAGTGAAGAATAATAAGCATTAGAGCTGATTCCCAGGTTTGTAAGGTGAGTGAATCGACTCTCTTAAGTGCCCTTCATGGCTATGTCGCTGGATATCGGTGGCCTGTGGCTGTGTCACAGAGGATGTGATTCTTGCTGACACACTGCACTTCTCAGCACAATCGAAACGAGACGGAGCCCCTGGCCTTCTCCCACGTTGCTTTCTGTCCTACTTTCCCACCTCCTCGTATTACCCCATCTTTATCCCCAGGTGCTCACCTGCTATTCTTAACATAGTCAGCTGCTTGCATCAGCGCTCTCCTCCTCCAGGTGATGCGATGTCCAGGTGGGCCTGTGGGTCTCTCTCCCTCCTAGACCTTGTGAAAGGAGAAGCCGGTTCTAATCTGATTTCCAGAAGAGACTTGGAAGTAGTAGATCAAGTTGGTCATTGGTTTTTATTAAGATTAGTTTTAGTTCAAATATCCATTGTACAAAATAAGATTTTTGACTATTAGACACACATACATCTATCCCATTTTTCTCTACTTTATGACTTGAGTTACATAATTTCGAGTGACTTGGTGTTTGACAGAAATTTATTCCCTATGTGACATGGGGTTCCACTATGATTTACTCAACATTTTTTTTTCCCCCCTCTGGAACATTCTTAAAGATTTCATTGGTTACTTTTGGAGCTGCAGTGACCTCCAAAAGCTCAAATAAGAAGAACAAAAGCCATTATGGATGGGGTTTAATAAAATCCTATTTACCAAACTTGTCATATAAGGAAGAAATAAGCACCATTAACAGTTCTTCATTCGCTGTTCTCAAGGCTATGGCCCTGGGAACCACTGCTGCTGATAACGCCCATGGCTTTCCCTCTCAGAAGGAACCGCTGAGGTGCCAATCAAATCTAGGCATTTTTACTCCTTTTTAAGAATCTCGGACACCTCTATGTTCCTCTGGCTCTTTCTTTTCTGTTTGCCCTTCCTTCTTCCTTCCTTCCTCCCTTCCCTCTCTCCATCCATCTCTTCCTTCCTTCCTTCCTGTTTTAATTTTATTCAGTGTGGTTTTTTAAAAGCAGGAATAGGTGTTCAAGTTTGTTAAATACCTTTTTAGCATTTACAGAGATAATCGTATAATTTTTCTTCAGGCCTATTGATATAGTGAGTTACATACTAATGGGTTTCCTTTATATCGAACAATCTTAGGCCATGCTATATATTATTTTCTTAATAAGATGCTGGATTCTGTTTGCTAATACCTTATTTAGAATTTTTGCAGCATATTCATTAAAAAATAATGGTCTGTGGTTCTCTGTGTGTGTATGTGTGTCTTCATTAGGTTTAGATATCAATGTTGGACTTGCATTATTAAAAGAACTTGGAATTTTCTCTTTTTTTCGTCTGTACTCTGGACAGCAAGCTACACAGCATCTGTTAAGATAGCTGGTAGAATTCCCTTGTGAAACCATCTGGGCCTAATGTTTCTTTTTTCTCTTTATTTCTTCCATAAAAAATTGTTCTGTTTAAATTTTATATCTCTACCAGACTCAGTTTTGCTAACATGCATCTTTCTAGGAAATCTTTCATTATCCCTCATTTTCAAACTTAGTTATCATTGAATTGTACAAAGTAATTGCTTCTGATTAAAAAATTTTTTTCCGTATCAGTCAGAATCCCCTTATCCTTGTCTTTTCTTATTTTTTATATTCGTATGGTCTTGATTAGATTAACTAGTGGTTTGTCTTTTTTTCCCTCAAAAAAGCAATATTGTATTTGTTTTTTAGTTCTTTTTCTGTTTTCTACCTCATGACTTTCTTTTATCTTTATTATTTATTTCTTGATGCTTGTTTGTTGTTCTTTCTCTAGCTTCTTGAGTAAGAATTTAGCTCAGTTATTTTTATTGATTTAAGGACATAAAACTAAATTTTTCTCTGATCGCTGCTTTAATTGTATCCCAAAATTATATGTTGCGTTTTCATTATTCATTTTTATAAATTCTGAAATTGCTTTCTATTTCTTCTTTTATCAATAGTTGTTTAGCAGAGAATTTTTAATGAGATTTTTGTCTTTATTTTATTAGGGATTTCTGAGAATGCTGTTTATATTATTTCCATTTCATAGAGACTTTTCTTCGTAATGTAATTGTTGGTCAATTTTTGTGAATGTTCCATATGTACTTGAAAATATCATCTCTATTAATGTGCCGTATAGATCCTCTCCATGTATTTACTTTTTTCCCATTCGCACAACCTTCACCTAAAAAGTGGCACATTCACCTCTCTTATTGTTAGTGTTTCTGTTTTTTTCTTGCAATTTCTATACTTTCCACTATTTTAGGGATTGACAAAATACAGCCTGCAGGCCAGCTGCCTACTTTATAAATAAAGCTTTATTGCCACACAGGAATGTTCATTCCTTTATGTATTACTTATGACTGCTCTGCTGCTACGATGGCCGAGTTAAATAGTTGGGATAGAGACTGTATGGCCTGTGAGTCTAAATATTTACCAGCTGTCTTTTAAAGAAAAAGTTTACCAACTCTCGTACTATATAAAGGGGCAAGTGTATTCACATCTATTATATCTTTGATGTAAACTATATCCTCTACAATTATAATTATAATCCTTTTTTGTCATGCTTAATATTTTTTGGCCTGAATTTTACCTTATTTGATTTTTGATGTCAAGATCACAGCCCCTGCTTTCCTTCTTTTTTCCCCAGTTGACTGCTATATCTCTTCCTTTTTAGGTGTTTCGAATTACTTTATTTTAAATGTATATCTTATATACAACACGGCGTGAGTTCACTTTGTGACACAAGTTGAAAACGTTTTTGTTTTAGTGAGTCAATTTCCTTTACAAGTGGATCAGTTTGATATACTTTCAAGGTAGAATAGAAACAAGTTTTGTATACATTATTTGAAGACTTCTGAAGATACTCTATTTTATATAAGCGATGATAAATTTAATCTAAAATAGGTCCGTGAAGATACCTTAAATTTTGAGTGTTGTACTGTGAACTAGTATTGTAGCTTTCCCCTCTAGCACGTGTGATTGAAGAAGCACTGATTAAAAATTTTGTTGCGACCTACACATGGACTTGAAATGAAAATGCAAATGAATTATTGCTTAGATCGAAGGTAGTTGTTAATGAAGTTAAAAGGCAGAGTTTACATCTTGATAACTAAAAATTAAAGCAAATAAGAAAATTTCCAAGAAGATTAATTAACTTACTCTAGTTTAATTCATTTTATGCTTATTCCATTTAAATCCAACCGCTTATCGATCCTACTATTGGCCGAGCTCTGTTTAAGGATCTAAGGACACAGTGATGGTTTTAAGCAGTATCTCTCACTTTAGAAATTCATTGTCCAGTTTGGACCATGAGGGGGTCTGTTAATCTGGGGTCTTTTGGATTTTCCTCTCTTCCTCTGATGACATAACTGAAGTCTGTTGTGCTTTCTCTCATGCAGGGCAGCCACTGATCACAATGTGGATAATACAACAGAAATACTCAGGGAGTGGCTGAAAAATGTACAAGGAATCTATCACTATGTGGAGTGGAGGCCGATGGCTGAACCTGAGTGAGTAGCAAGAGAACATTTTGCAAACTCATTATTTGTCTTCCACTTTTAACCAGTTTTCCAGCCATTCAGGCTTCCAGTCTTGGAGGCACATGTGACCTTTCCTCATCTTTCATCTCTGTATCTAGTAAGTTTCTACCTTTGACAGATCTTCGTATTTCTCTCTTTTTCTTTACTCTGGTGTGTACCAGCCAAGTTCAGGTTCTCATTAGTTCACAAGTAAATCACCGCAGTGGTATATATTTTAAAATAGTGATATTATTTATTAGTATTTTGAGTATAAACCTTTTATACTTGAGAGATCATAGTGGAAAGTTCGTATACTTTTAACATACACCTTGCTTTTTCATTTATCATATCTTGGTTTTCACTCCATAGCAATAGTTCAAGAGCTTCATTATTTTCATGACTGCGGAGTACCCATTGCATGGATGTATCATAATTCTTTAACTAACTTCCTACTGACAGACATTTGGATTATTTCCAGTCTTAACCATAGCAACTTCTTAGTTGTTTCCGTCTTCAAGTCATGATACATACTATATTGTCCAATCAATCTATCTAAAATACTAATTTTTCTGTTTAAAGAATTGCAGGTGCTCTCCAGTACTTACAGAAAAAAGTTCAAATGCTCTAGACTTATATTTTTAAAAGTTTCCATCCTTACGCATGCACCCATATTTCCTGCTTCTTCCCAAAAGAAAATCTGCTTTATCTAGAATGTTCCTTTTATTTTCAACCCCAAGCTGTCACTTGTGCAGGTTTGTGCTCCTGGAAGACTCCTTCCTTCTTTGTAACCAACTCCTATTCCAAATCCCACCTATTACAGAAAGCTGTCGCTAATCATCGCAGTTACAGAGGTCTACCTTTCTCTCCACACTTGCGTTGCTCACTTTCTACACCGTCCTGTTTGACACAACAGTATGCTTGACTAACATCAACTATATCGTTCATACATTGGTTTCTAAGTAATTTTTGAGTTCTTTGGCAGAGGCTAAAGTATACAAGTTATATTTCCTCTAATGCTAGGTTTTTGCACGAAATTAATATTTGTTGGATAAACCAACGAGTGAATGAGGACATGAATAAATATATTTAAAACTTACTTTTGTAAATGTTCCTAAGGCTACTGCAATTCCAGCTTAAGGAATATATATATGTATATGTATATATATATACACACACACATATATATGTATATATGTATATATACATATATACATACACACGTATATACCTATATATGTATATATACATATACATATATATATATACATATATATACATATGCATATATATACACACATATATATACACACACACAAGTATATATAAGTAGAATGAATTGAGTTGCCTGAATTTTTGCCCAGCATAAATCATTTATTGAAAACCAAATTTGTATTATAACAAGTGCCATTCCAGAACAAATTTTTATTCTTCTAGTCTCTCTGTATATAATACGTTTAATATATATATATATCAACTCCTAGTGTGTGATCCCTAGTCTCTCTGTACAAAATACTTTTATTATATATATATATACACATACATCTCAAATCCTAACATGTGATTCATATATCGAGCAAAATTTAATAATGAAATTTGAACACTATAAAAAAATTTTTAACACCATTTTGGAGTTTTTTCTAATGGAATTTGGCCTAATTAGAATGGCTCAGAAAGACTTTATGTACCTATCTTGCATCTGGTAATTTTCTCTGTAGTCAGATTTTGATTAAGTCATTGTATGCCAAAGTCAGTGTGAGAAATATTAGGGAAGACATTTTTTGGGCAATATGTTCAGAAAGATGGAAATGGTACCGATTTTCATTAAAGCAACAATTGGGGCAGACCTCCCAGAAAATTCCTATGCAGTACATAATTTTATTAGTCTCATTTATATAGTTACGGCCGCGTTGCTTTTATGGTTTTTCATTCACTGAGGCACATGTACTGCCAGCACAATGACGAGAACTTACAGTGTGGCCAGTTTGGGGCACTGTGACCATGTCAATATCCAATACCAGTTAAGGGCTTTCAGAAGGGTTGTCAAGGGCACACTGAGTGTCTATATGGCCATGCAAGAGTCCTGGCCTGGCTTTTCTGGGGACACCCTCGGAGATCCCGATGATATTCTGCATCTGTTCCATGACCTCCCATGACCTCATGAAACCTGGCATATGTCACTGTGTTGGACTCCTTGGAATTCTTTACTGAGACTTCCCCAAGTAAATTCAACCCTTGTTTTTTCTGGGAAACTGATATTTTTATGCTGCAAAATTTCCAAATTTATCTGATGGTAAAAACCATAAAAAAGTGTCTAGAAACATGAGCTTTGGGGTTAGGCCTGGGTTCAAATCCTCACTGGGTGTCCTGTTAACTACATGGTAACATTAAGCACATGACTTAAACTGCTCAACACCAATTTCCTCATCTGTGAAATTGGGAGAATAGTAATATAGCTGGCCCTCTAGACCCATGGGTTCCACGTCCACAGATTCAATTAACCACGGATCAAAGATATTTGGAAAAAAATCATCACTTTTTGCTGGCATGTGCATAGTTAGGCCAACGGTGGTTGCAGCTGTATTGAACACATACAGGATTTTTTTTTCTTGTCATTATTCCCTAAACAATATAGTATAACAACTATTTACATAGCATTTATATTGCATTAGGTATTATAAATACTTTAGGGATAATTTAAATATATGGGAGGATGTGCGTAAATTATATGCAAATACTACACCATTTTATATAAAGGACTTGAGCATCTACAGATTTTGGTATCTGCGAGGGTTCTGAACCAACCCCCTGCAGGATGACTTACTTACCTCGTAGGGGTTCAGGGGGTCGTTTTAGAAGCCACTGAAATATTTCATATAAAGATTCTCGTGTATGGTAAGCAATGAGTTATTCAATCTCACCTTGCTCAGGTTTCCTTATCTGTAATGTGGGGATGATACTAACGATAATATTATCTACTTCCTAGGGTTACTGGGAGAGTAAATGAATGAGTACATAGTGCCTGGAATATACAGGCACTCAATAATTAGACGCCGTTATTATTATTGTTTTAGGTCTTATCCTGATGAAATTGGACCAAAGCACTGGCCTGCCTCCCGGTTTGCCCATGTGATGAGACTACGACAGACGGCCCTTCGAACTGCGAGGGAAAAATGGTCGGACTACATTCTGGTAAAAAAACACATGTTTGATTTCTTGACAACTGTTATCTAAAATGTGTCCAAATCGATTGTGCAAAAACTAGGACTGTGGGATCAATCAAGACAGTCTTTGGTTTAGGCACCACCTTCTCCACTTTTTAATAAAGGCACGAAGGAAAATTTGGGGAACTTCATTTTGGGATACCTGGATTTCATCTCAAACCTACTCCCGACAGGCATTTTCAGTAACTAAGTGAATCAGCTCCTGAATTATTCTATCTCTGTCATAGAACAGGCATAAGAAATTCGGAATCTCTGTAGTTCATGGGGAATGACGTAGGTAAAGCAAAATAAATAGCCTTCATGACTTTGTAGAAGAATGTTGGGGATATGAAAAATTAATTATATAAACTGAGATCCAGATTAATAGCTCTGAAACTCCACTCCCTTTTTCTCCTGCGTGATTTGGGGAATGACATGTCTTGCTGGGCTTCCGGCTTGTTCCCCATTCTGCTGGACTCCAGTGGGGAATTTTTGCCTGTGAAAAGGTGCCATCACTTCCTTCAGAACTTTCAGGCTAGTCTGGAAAATGCTGCACTTGATTAGGAGTCGATGTTGTGTTCCATCCTCGTCCTCCATGAACCTGTCTCGACTAGAAAGGACAGTGTCAAAGAAAGCTATGGTCCCATTTCCTTTTGCGTATTGACAGAGACTTTTTTTCCCCACAAGTAATGGGAACCAAGTTCTTTATCTGTGGCCCCCCAAATTCATGTATTTCTTTTTGACAAATGTTTTCTAGTACAACACTAAGAAATAACACGAAGAAAGCAAAGCCAATATTGTTTCATTAAACGTATTGACATCTGTTCTTAGTCACCAGACTGATTCCTAAAGGGAGTACTTGGGACCTGTGTCCATCCCCAACCTCTCAACCACAACAAAATTCAACCCAATGAGTTATCACCCACACTTTCCATACAAATAATTTCATAGAAGTTTTCAAATTGTACTGATGATGCATATCACTGGATAGCTGTTTAAATGTCACTGAAGTGTACAAATGCTGAACCATAAAATTTTTAGCAAACAGATTGACTATCATACAAATAAAAGCTTCTGATTATTTTTGTGTGTGTGGTAAAATATACATAACGTATGATTTATATTTTAATCATGTTTAAGTGTACAGTTCAATGTGATTATGTTATATGATAGAACATGTTATACTGTCCCTTTAAACGAATCAGTGTTAATATAGGCTTCTGCTAAGACAATGGGACATAGCTTCTCAGTTAGCATGGACTTGAAATAATGTACTTTAAACAAAAATTCTACTTGTAACATTAAAGTAACATTGATGGATCTGTTTGGGGCCATTTTGGCATTACTTTAGACAACCTAAATAGGTCTGTCCATTTGTACCTGTAGTGGGGAGTCATTACATTGTATTATTATTATCATTATTCAAGAAGAATTTATTGAATGTCCTCTATGTGCCAGGCACTGTCCTGGGTGCTGCTGGGAATAAATACATTTCTGGGCCTCTGGGAGGTCACAGTGAAGAAACAGACAGGTTAACACTATTTACAGTACTGTGGGGTTAGGGCCCTGACAGGGATATTGCAGCGTGCCACTGGCATCAGTAAGTGTCTTTTAAATGACCTTTTAAGGGCTTGGGAGCCGTTAACATCTTGTAAGCTGGGTCCTGGATGAATGTGTACTCAGCGTGGTAGCACCAATTCATTGCGTGGTGCCTTTTGCAGAGTTGAACATGTGCAAGTTAGACTAAGTGATGAATGAAAACCATCAGCTGCACTGAGTCTCCATAACGAGGACACAGATGCCGGTGCCATACCTCACGAGCGAGCTCCTGTGGTCCTTCTGGGTGTCGGGTGACTCTCGAACCCATTACGGAAAAGTACCTTTTCATCTGACTTCGTCCTTTTCTTTTCCTAGTTCGTAGATGTGGACAACTTCCTGACTAATCCGCAGACCCTCAATCTAATGATTGCAGAAAACAAAACCATCGTGGCCCCCATGCTGGAGTCTCGGGGCCTGTACTCCAATTTCTGGTGTGGAATCACACCTCAGGCAAGTCTTTGGCTAATGAGTGAAGGCTGTGAGTTTTAACAAGCCAGCTATGTGTCGACAGTAACCCTATTAACTTTTTTCTCATTTCTTCCCTTGAAACATGCATGTCATTTTAAAGTGAGTGTTTTCACTTTAAAGGAGGTAAATCCAGGTCCAGTGCCACAACCCAGTGAGCTCTTCTGAATTAATGAATTATGAAGAAAATATTCTAATGCGTTTAACATAAGAAGCTTTTAATTAACCAATAAAGCCTATTTGGGCTTTTTTTTTCTCCCCGATTCAGAGATTTTAAAAATTAATAGTTGGTTTTTTTTTTTTTTCGGTCATTAAAACTAACATAGGAACACTATAGAAAAATTTGAAAATGAAAAAAAGTAATAAAAAAATTATGTTAACCCCCATCACCCCAATATCACAAGTAACAACTTGTGTGTTTTTCATAACTATGTCATCAAGTGATTATAATGCAATTTACTTAATTTTTGTTTAAAAACATTTAAGTTGTTTGCAACTTTTAACTATTATCATGATTAATATAAATTTTTCTGCATTTAATATTATTTTCTTAGGATAGCTTTTCAGAAGTGGAATGACTGAGTCAAGAGTAGAACTATCTTGATGACCTTTGATATGTGTTGCCAAATTTATTTCCAAAGAGATCTGATCATTAGAACTTCTATGGTAGGTTGTTTTTACAAAATTCAAGTTCAAAACAGAATTTTTTATTTCCATCATCTCTCTTTTCTATTGTAAAATCCTCAAAGTCTAGGGATCTGTTACAGTGAACGCTTATGGATGGTTATTTTTTTTTTTAATTCTTTAGTTAAAGAATTAGATGAATTAAACTGATCATTATATATCGATTTAGGATAAAGACGTGCTGAGGAAAAAATATATGTTAAATGTGGTCTCACACGCACAAAGGGCTAAAATTTTGAGTCCCTCTTTTATATTTGGTTTGGTTTTGGATGAAGAACGAGGCCAGTGCTGATAAATGTTTAATAACTGTCTCTTTTGGGGGGAAAATCCCAATTGGTAATGTTTTCCATTTTTCATGGTGTGAGTACTCCCAACATGCAAACAACTTAAACGTGGTTTGAGCTAAGGGAAAGGTTAAGTAAACTGCAGTATAGCCACTTGATGGGATAATTATTAAAAACATGCAAAGCTGACATCTGTGGTGCTGTTAGAATGGTGAAGATAAACTTGATTTTTGTTTTTACAGCTACCAACATCTCAACTGGCTTGCAAAATTTTTGAAAATTTAACCATCAGTGGTTCTAGTAAACTACTGGATGAGGCCTTCCTCTTTTGTTACAATTATTTCTCACAGTTCCAAGAGGTTTTGAATGCATGTTATTACCTACATCTCTTGAGGGAAGCATTAAGTTCCTATTACAAAAGTCATTCAGGTCTCGGTGAGAAGACGTTACATCAGATTCCTTTGAATTCATACCTTCTCTGTTAATAACCTGCAGTGTTTTTCGTGGCCGAATCACTGGAGGGTTGTTTTTAATGGGTTATGGATTGACAGCAGCCTCCAGCTTTCTATTATCTCCTTATTTGCTTTAATCATTAAAAGCAAATAGGAGAAATGTGCTCACTTAATTTGCAAGGTAAAAGTAAAATCTGAGCAATTTAGGGCAATTCTAATTATTCTCCATCTGTTTTTGGCTGTCTGCCATTCCCAGGCAGGCTTCTGCTGGGGCCACCGATGACTTCACAAGCTTCAGGCAGGCCTTTAAACACATCCAAAACAAAAGGACCCCGGTGTCCTCGTCTAGCCAGTGAACAAGAATTATTACCAGCAACATGCAATTAATATGGAAAAAAAGACACAACTATTGCCTCTGCCCATCTGCAGGAAGCATTTTAACTCTTTCTTTGCCGCTTTCCTCCCTGCCCTCTGGATGTTCAGTGATCTGGCATCATCATGAATGTTCCAAGCTGCTCACTCAGAATATTGTTCCTAAGTTGTCTAGAACTTCATATTTGCCACATGTTCTTAGTCTCTTCAAGAACCAGCATTTTCTTTATCCCTTGGAAGAATACGCCTGAATCGAACCCATGCTTTCCTAACTTAAGGACATTAAGTGATATTTAAGATAAAGACTAATAAAAATTATGGTAATAACAATACCTCGCATAATGAATTCGTTTTCAAAGTAGCTTCACAGACCTTATCACAAGTGATTCATTCCACAACTCTGTGAGATGGACAAGTCAGCTATTATCCCATTTTTCAGGAGAAACTCAGATCATGAACTAAGGCCAAATGGCTAGAAGATGGTTAAAATGACTCTAAGCCTCACATCTCCTAAGTCTTAATTTGTACTTCTCCTGCCTTACACGTGGCCGTGTTAGGGTTAACTCAGCTGGGACACTGGTCTAGGCGCTAAAGGGAAAGGCAGAAGTGGAAGACACTACAGTGCCTAATGTGTGGCCACTGACATCGCAACAAAAAATGTGACCACAGAGTAAGGGGACTGGTTGTCCTATGTGCTTGCCCAAAAGGAACTTTCAGAGGGAGACTCCCCCAAAAATGTGGAACAGTGACAGTTCTACCAGAATATCGAATAAATAACTTCACTGAAAGAAGACCTTATTTCTATGTTTAAGTACTCCATGTTTAGCTAAAAATATTAACCAATGTAATATAGCGATTTTAATAATATGTACTGATGCTTTTTCGGTGCTAGGCCCTGTTCTAAGCACTTGTAATTTTTACAGACAGCCTTGTGGAATGGGTAGCGCCATCATCCCTGTTTTAGGCGACCTACAGATGATGAGTAGCTGAGGTGGGATTTGAGCTCAGGCAGGCAGATGCCAGGAACTGTGCTCTTCATTGCTCGGGTTTACCACCTCTTAATACTCATGCTTCATATGCAATCATAAGTCAATATAAAATACGCTTTTATGAAATTATTAAATCAAGAGACATGCCAAAATCAAAATTATTTCTGATAACAGGACCCTTTTAGTATTGTTTAATATGTAAATAGCAATTCTTGAGTTCAGTTGGAGATTCTTAGGCCAAGATAAGACGAGGGAAGGTAACTTTGCTTGGGGACTTCTCCTCAACTGCTGATGACAGAAGGAATCAGCTAGCAGATGACTGCCAAAGATGGCGTGCTCAGCTCAGAGGACATAGCTCACCTGTGTGCTCTTTTCCAGGGCTTCTATAAACGGACTCCAGACTACCTTCAGATTAGAGAATGGAAGAGGTTGGGCTGTTTTCCCGTCCCCATGGTCCACTCCACCTTCCTAATTGACCTCAGGAAGGAAGCTTCTGACATGCTGATGTTCTACCCCCCACACCAAGACTACACCTGGACCTTCGACGACATCATCGTCTTTGCCTTCTCCAGCAGGCAAGCAGGTACTGTTTGTATTCGGTTATACTCTCCCCATGGAAAGATGGCAAATATCCAGCTCCTTTGTTTTGTGCATCTTATTACAAACACTGCTATGTATGGAAACGTACTTCCCCTCCCGGTGGTGTTAGAGGCAGTTAGTCGTCTGCAGTAACCATACCAGCACCCTATGTGTTGCCGGCCCCGTGAACACTGAAGACCAAGCCCCCCTACAGAATCCACTCTCTTTTTTTTTTTTGGCAGTGGGAGCTGTGCACAGGTGATTGGTTCTCTATGGTGCTGCTGCACTGCTTTGTTCATTTTAAGAGACTTTTATTAATTAGAAACTGTGACAGAGACCCAAAACAACACTGGCAAAGACACCAAAAAAATGGAAGTGTATTCTCAAAAAAGTCTGAGCTGGATAATGGCTCTGTTCCACAAAGTTTTCTGAGACCCAGGCCTTTTCCCTATGGCTTCTCCACCCTCCATGAGGTATCGTTCTTAGTCATATGATCCAAGATGTCTCATTAGTATGGATGCATCTCAGCCATTGAGTGAAAACCAGAGGGGAGAGGGCACTGTCCTTCAATCCGGAAGTCAAACGCATCACTTCCACACATATCCCATTAGCCAAATCTTAGTCACCGGACAACACTGAGCTGCAAGGGAGGCTCAGAATGCTGTCTTTATTCTATGCAGTCTGGAGCCTCAATTCTCTCACTCTAGAAGGAGAGGGCGGACGTGGGGAGGCAGCCAGCAGTGTCTGCCACAGTCACCACAGGAGGAAGGGCAAGGCCAGACTTAAGTCCTTCGTGAATCACTAAGGAAAGCATTTCCAGTGGGATCTGTAGGTTTTTGGAAGAAGACAAGTCAGTAGGAAGGTAAGTTATTTCTCTTGTGTCACTGCACATGCATCAGTGGGGACAGGATTCACTAAAGCAAATCAACAGGAAGATACATGGCATTCATAAAGCAAAGCTTTATCCTCAGGATCATTCAGATCTTCCTAATGGAAATCAGGTCCTATTATCGATGAGCTAGAAATGTGCCGTTTAACCATTAGCAAAAGTGAGTTTAGAAATCAGGCAGATGGTGAAAAAAATCTCACTGTGGCCATATAAATTAGGATAGATGGGCTCATGCAAAGACCTCAGGCAGTTGAGGCAGGTTGCTGGCAGGTGAGAATGTTAATACAAATTCAAGCTACAACTCACTCATCAGGCCACAGGTGTCCCACTCATCAGTCGTAGACTTGGTAGGAATGAGACTATTTCTTGGAAATGCGGAAGGCTGATTTTTCTTCTCTTGGCAGCTTGGGCCATTTAGACCCCTTGGCAAGGTGTAGGCATTTTTAGGCCTGTGTTGGGGCAAAAGCAACACTCTTATTCTCATGTGGATTGCAAGTTTTCATGAAGGTTATTGTGTCAATGTTAATGGAAATTGCTTCTTTCAACTTGGTCTGTGGTTTGCTCTGCCCTCTCCAGGATGAGAAGCAGACTCAGGGCCTTCTCATTCCTCCTAGTTGTGCCAGTCAGTCCCTTTGCTTCAGAGCTCGAAGTAAGGATGTGCCAAGAAAGTGAACTATTAACAATTATGGTAATGATCCTTGCCTAACAGAGTCCCCCTTTGTAGCCATCGCACAAGTCATTATTGCAACTCAGGCACTAAATTATTATGATAAATTCTTTTAAACCAAAAACTGGATTTGGGGCTGGAAGAGTGGCACAGGCTGGCTGGGAAGTTCTCAGCTCCGCCCTTGGCTTGGCCAGTTCACTCTGCCTTCATTCTCTACAGGTCAGACTTCCCGTAGGTCCTCCCAGGACACCAGAAGCAGGTGCAGAGACCCAAAGCTGTTTGGGGATTCAGCTGGAAAGAAGAGAGGTAGAAAAGGAAGGCGGGGGATCAGTGCTCTAGGCCTAACGTCGTGTTGGGCTCTGTGTTTGGGGAGATCCGAACTTTACACGTGGGAACATAATGGTTATCAGGCGGAAAAAGCTGAGGGTCAGATGAGTGGTACGAACTGTGAACAGATCAGGAGAAACGACAGGAAAGAATGACCGTTATTTGGAGAAATGAAAAAGTGTTCCCGACAGTTGTGTGTTTCTAAGGTAGCACTTTTAGTTGTCTTGAAGCATTTTCAGGAGAAATGAGAATGAGCCTGGGAGTCCCATTGGGTGTTTCTAGGCCCTTCCCCTTTTAGGTCCAAAGCAAAGCACTTCCCTTCTCCCTTGAAAGAGTCTTAATGAAAAGTGATTTGTATTCTTTTGTTCTCACTCGCGTGAAGCTCCCTAGCTGTGCTGCATCCATTGGAGCATTGTTTTTTAAGTGCCCAAAAGGAAATAAAGGGTCTGCCTGTCCCAGGCAAGCCTATCTGCCCACAAACCTTGATCTTTAATCTTTAACCTCAGACACATGTGGGTGATGAGTCAGGGGGCAATCCGAGTGTGCTGAGGCATGGGGGGTGGCTGCCTTTCTAGCCTCAAAGAGGAGCAGGGGTCAGAGGCGAGTCTCTGTGGCTGTAGTGAGGCCAAGGTCAGGAGTTCACTTTCCACTGTGGCCAGTGATCTGGGCTCTGTACCACGGCCACAAGAACCATCTCTGGCGCCAGCCAGGCATCTTCCGAATGTCTATTGTGTGTGAAAAGAGGCAAGAGATGTAGGTGGCAGGCAGACAGCTCTGTTTCCTGCACATCACTGATAGTGATCAAAAGTGCCTCCCATATATAGGGATGGCAATCCAGAGTGACTAGTCGTTCTGACACTTGGCTTCCAAATCCTGGGTGGGTAGAAAGGTACTTGGCATTGGCCCTTCAGAGACAGAGGCTTGATAATGATGACATACGACATGACCTTGGGCCAATCGCAGCCTCTCTGAGTCTGAGTTTTCATCACCAAGGATGAAGGCAAGTACATCAACCTGCAATGTTAAGGGACTATATGAGTACAAGAAAAATTTTAATATCTTCATAAGCTAAGTAGAGTCTTTCAAGGACCATTCTTTTTCAGAGGGAAAATTGTTTTCCTAGAAGCAGCTTTCGCTGAGAGTACCAGATTGCTTCATAGATTTTATCTAATTATCAGTATATTTCCTTTTAAAATTTTTATATTTTTATCAGATTATCCACGCACATAGTTAAAAGAGTTTTTTTTTTTTTTTTTTTACGCGAGGCAACCCTTGGTTGACCTCACAGATTACAAGGATCTTATAGCTTACAATTCTTTATATTTTGTTTTTTTATGCCTACAGCATCTGGTCTTCCTAGGTGGTCTCCCATCCAAGTACTAAGCAGGCCCAACCCTGCTTAGCTTCTGAGATCAGAGGAGATCAGGCTTGTTCAGGGTGACGTGGCCATAGACTAAAAGAGTTCTAATAATCCCCCAAGGTTTGTTATAAAATTAGAAGTCCCCTGCACATCACACCCCCTATGTTATTTCATTTTCTTCTAGAAGGCAAACACTCTTAACTCTTTCAGATGGTGATACAAGTGTAATATTTACACCCAAGTTTCTAAAGAACATGCTTGTACTGCCGCTTCTTGCTTTTCTGGTTTTACTTTAGGAATGATCTATTGACTCACTACAGAAGAGGAGGAGTTAGCGCTCTCCTCCCCTTGTCCCCTCCACACGACACATTCTCCCCATCACTCGGTCCTCTCCATATAGTCCATGGTGATTGAAGATAGATGGATGGTCAGTTTTTTTGTTTTGTTTGTTTGTTTGTTTGTTTGTTTGTCGTTATAATCACGTGAACCTAATTCTAAGCTGTGCCACATACAGACCATGGCTAGTTTTCCTTTCATATCTAACGGAACAATTGCCTTTTCCTGAGCTGAGTTTTGTTATGGTGAATACAATCCAACCCGATCCCTAATTGTCGAAAACTTTTCTGAGAACGGTCAGCTTTATCAGATATTCTTTTCACGCAGATGCCTCTCCTGGAGCCCCTGACGCACTCTCATCCGAGGGCTGCCACAGCCATCGCCCCAGGCTGCCCTTCTCGTCTCTCCTGCATCGACTCTCCTTTCTACCATGTCCCAAGTCTTCCTCCCTCTCTCGTCCTCCCCACCGCTCCTCTTCCTTCTTCTCCCACACTATCCAGTAATTTGCCGAGCAAGCGTGATGCAAAGTAAATATTTGTGACCTCGCGTGCCTGAAAATGCCTCTCCTGTCCCCCCGCACTTGATGGATAGCTCGGCTAATTCTCATCTCCCATTTTACCAAAGCTTTGGAAAGTCCAATGGTAAAACGATCAACCTAATTAGGGTAGAGAGACAACCTAAATATTAAGTCATTTTCCTTCTATTTTCTGAATTCATCGTGACTTTGCAAAGGGGTGCAGTTTGGTTTGAAGTTCCCCACAAGCATTTATGTGAGCAAATAGCAGAGCCAGTGAGTTCACTTGGTGAAGGCAAGAGACACAACAGTGCCTGGTGCACCAGCCCTGACTCAAGCCAGGTTCAGCAAAGGGAGGATAAAAGCTCTTTTCTTTGCTCGTTCTTCCCTGTTAATACCATAAGACAGCTTCACCTGATTTGGCAGGTGATAGCACCGACTGGAGGAAATTTCCTCTGTACAAAATACAGAAGGCCCCATGCAGATAATTCTGTCTCTGGAAAGCACAGATGATTATAGCAATTAACGAGTCAGAAGCTCGGACACAAGGAAGAGCTTCGCAGGCTTATTCTTTTAACAAAGCAATGTTTTCATTAGTCAGGACTGTCAGTTCCTGGATCTACAGGAGACCGTCTTAATTCCTATATTTTTAGCTATCTAGTTGAACACAGATGCTACATAACTCTTGATAGACAGCTGGGGCTGTGAAGACCAGTGTTGAATACAAGACGGCTGTGGCATATTTCTGGCAGCTTCTTAACAGGATTTAAAATGAAGACTTTCTTTTATCTCTTTGTGAATCTATTATAGAAGTTTCACGTCCATTGGTTGACTCGAAATTCATGCCTACTGAGAGAAGAAATGAAACCAAGGAGAATCATGAAAAATTTAAAATTTCCTTGCTTTTTATTTTTTGTTTTCCATATGCCCAGGTTTAGCTTTATTAATCTTGTCAGCCTTACAGGATTTTCCTGTTTGCTTTCATATCAAGTATGGATTTTATTCCTCATTTTTCGTTATTTCCTGTAGTTGGATTACAGTGTTCCGTTCTGTTCTCTGGAACGGGAATTCCTTGCCTCCCTTTTGATCCCTTCATGCCTTTAGTGTTCATTTCAGGCCGCAAGTATGCTTTTTCTTCAGAGAGAAAAATCAATTTCCTCTGAGCCGAAGAATGGCCCAGCGTTTTTATTAGCCCCCAATGCTGCGTTATACTTTCTTAATAAAGGAGCATTTTTGAGGTCTCCAGACAGTGCCTGAAACAGCTACTTGTTCAGTTTCAGTGCCAAACCCAGCATCAGCTGCAGTCTGGTCTCTTTTTCCCATGGTTGTTACTATAGAAATGAGAAGTGTGTTTTCTGATTGGTTGCTTTTTCCCTGTTGTGGATCCTCAGGCATCCAGATGTACCTCTGCAACAGAGAGCACTACGGCTACCTGCCCATCCCCCTGAAGCCCCATCAGACCCTGCAGGAGGACGTCGAGAGCCTCATCCATGTGCAGATAGAAGCAATGAGTGAGTGACCCAGGTGCCTAGGGATGGCTCTTGTTCCGTGGCCACCGTGACCATCCCAGCCACTTCGCCCCATCCCCAGGGGTGGAACATAGATATTCATTTGTTCACTTCGTCTGAAATTTTTCCTAATGTGAAATATAAATATGCCAAAGTATTTGCCTGCAGAAAGTGTCCTGTCTGGGAAGGGTAGATACATTTCACACAATGTCTTAAGGGCTATAATGGTGTTTTATGGTGTGGATCTAAACTCAAACTGTGCTGCTTTCTAATACATGACTTTGAGCAAGTCATCTAATCTCTTTAGCTGTGAAATGGAAATAATGAAAACTTTTAGAGTTTGGGGGAAGATTCTCCATGATATATATAAAAACCTAATAACAATAACAATAATTATGACCTCAATTTAATAATAGTTTATGCTGTAACAGATACTATGCTAAGCATTTTTTGTACACAGTTTCTTTAATTCTCATAAGAACTCAGGGAAAGGGATTTTATTATCCTCATATTAAAGATGAAGAGACAAAGTGTATGGAGTTTAAGTAGTTTGCTCTAGATCACTCTGCTGAACTAATGACAGATTGGGATTTGAACCAATATCGCTGTCTTCAAAGTTATGTCCTTAAATTAAACAGTATGTTGTTATTGTGTCCGGGTCTAGCATGAGGCTGGAGTTGGAAAATGCTCAATAATCAGTAGCTACATTGATTGTTATGTATAACATGCAGTGGTGGCTAAAGGAGAAAGTAATGGGTCCCCCCTGCCTAGGGAAGGATGTTGGAGGCTTCCCAAAGGAGGGAATATCTGCACTGAATTTTCACGCAGGATCTGAGAAATTCTGTTACTCATCACTAGAATGCAGGACGTATGTGTGTGGGCAGCTGGGGAGGTGCAGCGGGAAGCGAGGCTGGAAAGTGGGCAGGAGCCCAGCCAGAAGGACCTCTAAGGTATAAGAAGGTGTTTGGACTTCTGAAGGGAGGGGAACTTTTAAAGAGGTCTTAGCAGAGAAACGTCAGGTTGACGTCTGGATTTCGGACGGTCACTCGTGCGGTCGGAGAGGTACTGCTGGAGCAGACTGGGGCAGCGAAGCTGGTTTCAGGCACTGTGGACATGGCCTTCTATTTAATTCTTGTATTTACCTTCTCTGGTGATAGTTTTGTTCAAACTTCAGATTCTGAATTTTAAAGGATGGAACGTAATTGGAATAAGAAAATAATTGGAAATAAATTTTTGAGGGTAATAGTGCAGAAATATAGGCTGAAGGTCCATGTAGGATTAATAAAAGGATGATGATGATGAACTAGTACCTGTAAAGTGTTCTTAGGAAAAATGAACTAGATATTGAAAGTACTTTGCGCAGCCTCTGGAACCCAATGAGCAGCGGATAAATAACTGCTGATAGGCTCTACCAAGTGAAGCATTAGAACAGGGATTATATTCCTGTGCAAACATTTAATGCCTTCCTACAATGGTTGAGTCACTCTGTGAGGGTATTGTGGATTCAAAACATTTTACATCCAATTCTCTGCTCTGGGTGTTTATATTTAACTGAGGAGACAAGACAGACATAAAAAGACTCCAGCGATGCAGTATTGTGCTTTGTGAAAGGAGCGGCTATAAGGGCAATAGGAATTTAAAATAAGGAGAGATTGTTGTAGGCTAGTGTCATCTAGGAAAGTGTCGAGTCCTCGCGGTTCTCAAGCTGAGCTTGGACCGCAGAGTGGAGTTTAAGCAAAAGGAGTCATGTGGCGAGGGCACCAGTGGCAGAGGAAACAGACTGAGCAACAGCATTGTTGAGAAAGCATTCTCACCCTGGAAGAGAGTTGGCTTTAAACAGAAGGAAATACAGTTTGAAGGTTGGAGTGGCTTCGACGTTGTAGTCCTTGATGCCCAGCTAAAGCGGCCATCAAGGTTGTAGTCCTTGATGCCCATCCGAAAGCAGTGAGGAGCCAAGGAAGGTTTCAGAAGAGGGAGTCGGGCTACGAGTATTTATTAAACACCACGTTCCACGGATCATTCAAGATGCCAGGGACACAGCAGCGAACAAAACTGACAGATGCTCCGCTATCGAGGAATGTATATTGCAACACGGAGCGATGAGACGACAGGTCCGGGAAGCAGCCACAGGGACGTTCGGGGGAAGAGTGTTTCGAGCAGAGCAACGGCACGTGCAGACGCTGCGAGGGAAGAAGTTGAGGCGCTCGGGGAACAGAAGGCCAGGGTTGGAGTCTGCGGAACGAGGGGTCGGGTAGAAGGAGATGAGGCATGGAGGACAGAGCGAACGCGTCACGCAGAGTCTGTGGCCATAGTAAGGCTCTGCCAGCCGTCATCCTGGCGGAGCCATGCACAGTGGAGGAGGGGGCGGGCGAGATGTGATTTATACACCCAGCAGGATCGCTTAGACTGCGGTGTGTGGATCCTGAAGTTTAGGGGGGCCCCCAACACCTCTCTTGGTGAGAGATGGTGGTGATTGGGGTGCGAGCCGTAGCAGAGAGGTGATGAAAAGCAGGATTTATGACATGTTTTGGTGGTAGAGCCAACAGGACTTACAGAGACCTGGCTGCAGGTCACGAAGGATAGAAAGGAGTCGAGATGGCTCCGGGATTTTGGCCTGGTGTACCATATAACGAGATGGGAGAGGCTTCGTGAGGAAAGATTTGGGGAGAGACGTTTTGGTGATGTAAGCTTAAGATATTTATTGAACGTCTGAAGGGAAAAGTTAGGAGATTTAGCTATATGAGTCTGGAGTTCAAGGAGAGATTCCAGCTGGAGACAGACATTTGAGAGTGATGAGCATTAAAAGGATATTTGAAGCCATGGAACAGTGTGAACTCGTTTAGTAATAGAACATCAAAAGAAAAGAGGGAAGTGAGGAGAACAGATCCCTGGGGGAGATGAACAGCCCGAAAGCTGGAAGGAAAAATTGAGACATGTTTCAAGAAGGAGCCAGATGCTGCTGAGAAGTCCAGTAAAATGAGGAGAGGGAATTGATGATTGGTTCTGTCAAGATAGACATCTGTGATGAGCTTGATAAAAGCTACTCAGTACAACGCTGGGACATAAGCCCATGGGCGTGGGCTGAAGAGAGGACAATGAGGACATGAGAAAGCGGAACCTTTTGGGAATGGAGAATAGAGAAATAGGACGACGGCTGTAAGGGAGAGAGATCAAGGCAGAGGTTCTTTTGCTTTTAGTGCTGCTTATTTTTTAAGACCCACTCAGTACAATGCTGGGACATAAGCCCATAGGCGTGGGCTGAAGAGGGGACAATGAGGAGATGGGAAAGCAGAACCTTTTGGGAATGGAGAATAGAGAAATAGGAGGACGGCTGTAAGGGAGAGAGAGATCAAGGCAGAGATTCTTTTGCTTTTAGTGCTGCTTATTTTTTAAGACAGGATTTTAGCATGTTTGTATGCAAATGAGAAGGACCCAACATATAAGGAGAGCTTGATGATGTAGAAGAGAAGATGAATCGTAAGGCTGAAGTCCTTGAGAAAACCCCAGAAAACATTGAAGAGGTTGTCCTAGAATGGAACAGGGTTGCTTCTTCCACTATAACCAATTGGAGAGGCAGAATGTATAGGTGCAAATGCAGCTGGGTTTGTAGACTCGAGGCCGAAGGAAAAGGCACCTGTAACTTGACTTTGAATATTTACTCTATGAGGTATGTAGGCCAATCATCAGCTCAAGAGAGAGGTTGGAGATTTCAGGGGAGAGAACGAGGCGTAAAATAGATCTCTCAGTAAGTGGGAAAGTAAATTTCTCTGTGGAAGTATAGTTGCATCATTTGGCAGTGTCGAGTGCCAATTTGACATCTGTGGTTGCAGTTTTGAAATGACTCAGTCAAAACAACTGTGTGAATTTCTCTTGCAGTGTTTTTCTTGGTGCTAAGTGGACAATTGAGTTTAACCAGGGTTGGAGTTTTACCAGCAAGATCAGTGGAAGAGATTCAGGAGTCTTTGCAAGGAACGAGTGAGAGGGTCAGACCATGAGATCCAGGCTGGGTACCGACGGGAGCGAGGACGTGAAGGGTGTGATGGACGCAGACACGGCAGCTGGGCACTGAAGGAATGATTGTGGGTGTTAAGGTCAAGGACCTGGAAGCCACAGGCTGTTGGACAGATCACCACGTGGATGCCGAGGTTTCTAAAAATGACGGCAGGGACAGTGAGACCATGAGCCAGAGGCTGGAGTCATCAGTGGCAGAAGGGGTACGATTAGATCCAGGATGCTAACATTCCCTCAAAGACTCTGAGAGTTTTGAAGGATGAAAGAGAAACGGTTCGGAGTGAGTTGAGGGGTATGAGAAAAATCAGTTTCCGTTCTGACAGCTGAAAGGGAGGCAGTGTCCTCAGAAGAAAGCCAAGTTTTAGTTAAAACAAAAAGGCAAAGAGACATTCAGAAAACACAAAGGAAATGAAAATGTCAGAGAACTTAGGAACTGCAGACTGGAGTTTCAGAGATCACAGAGGGAGGGTTTGGGTGGGGTGGGAGCTGGGGAATAACAGTGGCCAGCGCTTGCTAAAAGCACCATGCCTATCTGCACTTGTATTTCCCCATTAGTGCACTAGGAGCTACACAGAGACTTTGTGGATGCGCTTCCTGTACAGAAAATTTGGGGATAAATGGCAGGAGGCTAGATCTTGTAAAAATGATAGAAATAAATGGGCTTTGAGGTATGAGGAGATCGGTCTTGTAAATCAAAGCATGAGGCAATGGGCAACCTTAGGTGCTTCTTCTCCATGACAACATTTTGAGGCAACAGAATGTCATGTAAAGATTATTAAGAATCCTGGACCTGAAGTCAGAAGGTCTGAAACTGAGTTCCCGCTCTCAGTCCCCAGTCACTCACTATTTGACCTTGGGCAAGTCCACATCTGTGTCAGTCTCAATTTCTTCGTCTATAGTATACATGCTGTATGCAAATCATTTTCTTCATCCAAAAGAGCAAACAAACAAAAAAAAAAAGGGAAGATATAAAACGATGGGGTGAATACGAAAGCACCTAACTAATTGCAAAGCTCTTGACTATTACGGTCGAGAGCAGAGCTTGTTCTTGAGGAAGAAAATTGTTTTGATAACAGTTCACACTTGAGTTAGAATGAGGCGAGACTAAGGGCACATGAGCGAAAAATATTAAAACTGCCCAAGCACGGTGAGCGAGGACCTGAGCGAGGGTGGGGCTGCGGCAATGGAAGACGTTTGGGTAAAAGTATAGAAAAGGAGCGTTAGGATTTGGGCCAAGCACAATCTCTCAGATACTTTTCTGAGCATGACTGGGCTGGTACGTTGTACGCTGGATGGCGTGTGCTCCAACGTAGACCCCAGAAAGAGCAAACAGGGATGGTCAGCCAGGAGCAAGGACTTAGCTAACTGAGCCCAGTTGCCCTAGGCCAATTTGACGCCCCGGGCTAGTTTTGGGGGTAGAGTAGGGTGGTGGTCAAGGGTTCTGGGGCAGGCGTCAGACCTAGATTTAAATGCCAGTTTTATCAGCTCTGTGACCTTGGACAAGTTATTTAAGCCTTTGCTTCCTTATCTGTAAAAATAAGGGCACTCATACCTATCCCACCAAATGGTTGTGAAGATTAAATAAATGTGATTACAGATGTTAAGAGTGTAGCCCAGAGTCAGTGAGTGATAAGAACTCTGTAACTGTAACAATAGCCAATCTCGTTCCTAGATCTTGAAACTATCCAGGTGCCAATGAAGCACATTGTCCCAAGTGGTGGTGCAGGGAAGGAGTCGTATGGGGAAAGATTCAGTGAGGGACTGGATAAATTATGAATGACGGAGTCAGAAATGACCCCAAACAGAAGCTGGAATATACCTAACCTTCAAGTCTGATGTCCCCAAAGACACATCCCTTCTCCCCACATAGTAAGTCTCTTAGGCCTAACTTGTATTATTTCCTGTTTTTCCCTATGACTTAGCTCAGCCTTTAGTGGCAAAACCCAGGCATATTTCTTACATTTTTACTTAATGGTGGTTTTCAAGAGCCAGCCACTTTGGGCTTTTCTGGGACACTTGTCCTGTGAACACAAGACTACCCATGTCTGATGGAAACAAAGTGACTGAAAGTAGTCTCTTTGGCTGAAAAGTTAAAACCACATAGGCCACGTGAGAGCCAAACAGAGACCAAGAGTGTCAAAATACAACCCCTCCCAAGTCTAAGGCCCAAAGAGGGAGAGCCAGACAGCTCCTCAAACATTAACAGGAAGGAGTTTGAATGCTAAGTTTCTCTTAAAAACCCAACTCTGTACATGGTGGACCCTCAATAAATATTTGTTGATTTTGAAAGAAACTAATAAGGGTTGGGGCGGAGCAGAAAGGACCAGAACATTCTGGGCTGCACTGCGTGCTCACAGAAATGGAGCTGTCAGGTCAGGGTTGAGCCCAAGTCTTGTGTTTGGCTTAGGAGACCCTGTCTCGCTACCTTCTAGAACGTCACATCGTTTGATCATAAGTGAAACTGGATGTCACAGTTTCTCTTTAATATCCCAGCGAAGGGTAAGTCGATTGAATAATATCCTTTGGCATGTGTCTCAGTGAGAATGAGCGAAGTTACGCTGGTGTATCAACGAGCGCCCAGGTCTCCCTGGCTTGCTACAAGGGCTCATTTCCGGCCCTGCGAGTCCGCAGTGGTCCTGGTGTCCTTCGCGATCAGCTGCCCGCCGTGTGTTGGCACGTCATTCTGGGCTGCTTCAAACTGTGGCTTCTCCACGTGAACATGTGCCACTATGATTGTTGTGGCGGGGCTGGGGCTGGGGTCCGGGAAGCAGCAGCGATTCACATCCCAAGACTAACTCCAAGCGTGGGGCTCTGCCGACTTCTCATCTGCCTGGAATGGAGGAGAACAGAGATTAGTGAAGACTAGTAAGAGCCCTTACCCATAGTTCTTCAAACGACCCAGTTGCCAGCTTTCATGTAAAATTTTCTTTGTACTATCTCTTTATGAAAAAAACAACGGAGTACTTTGAATTTGTACAATACGAAAAATCTTCAAGACTGTTTCAAGTTTCTAATCAATATTGCTGCCAACCTTTGAACATATATAGTTTGTAAAGAAAGCTTTTTTTGAGTATCAAATAAATAACATTTTTGTTACTTAAGATATGATGTCCTTCACATCTGGAAACTTCCTTGGTGGCCCTGTGCCAAGGTCTAGGACATAAGCTGACCCTCAGAGCTGAATTTGTGTTAAAATAAAGGACTTTTTGTGTACCTGTAGCTAAACCTTCTTGGGTGGGATAAAAATAGTCCTAGACCTTGACGATTTTAATTGTATAGAAAAAATCTGGCCAATTTCTGAGCTCTTTCATCATGGGCCACAGCAAGTAACAGCTAAGAGTTATTGAGCATTTACTATGTTAATACACTGCGGTGACTGCTTTGCACACAGGTATCATTTAAATTTTATAACATCTTAAAAAGATAAGCTTTTATTGTCCTGATTTTACACACAAAGAAACAGGCTTAGAGAGGTCACCTGACTATTCCAGACCTTTACAGACCAGAGTTTAAACCCAGAGCATCTGACTTCAGAGTCCTCACCCTTAGCAGTTGCCCTAAACTACCTCCCACTCCTACAATAAGTCTTAATGGAAATGCAGCAAGTGCTGCCATCTGCATGCAAACAAGTGCTGTCAAAACCAGCACCCTAACGGTCAGGCTTCTCGTGTAGCCAAGCGACTGAGCAGTTACCCCTGCCCTGCGTGTCCAGGTGACATTCCTGAAGAGCAGGTGTGTGGATGGAATTCTGTTCTCTGACTCTCACTAACAAAGCACTCTGCGTGTTTCTTGTGTCTTCCAGTTGACCGTCCTCCAATGGAACCCTCCCAGTTTGTCTCAGTTGTCCCTAAATATCCAGACAAGATGGGATTTGATGAGGTAGGAAAGGTGTCTGTGTGTGTGTGCGCGCGTGCTTGCCTGTGCCTGTGTGCAGCGTGCTTCTACATCTACACCGAAAACCGAAACACAAGCCTGAGCATGTGTGTGAGAGCCAGCAAGACCGGCTCGGCTACTAAAAAGGCATTGAGGGCTTGGGAAGAATACTCGGTTTTTGTTGTGCCTCGGTTTCCTTTTCTTAAAAAAAAGAAAAAATGGAGCATCATGATGAAAGTGAATTAATCATTGAGTCAGAAAGTTACTATTTAGTAGTGAAAGCGAATTTGATAGTTTTTCCTAAAATATTGCCGTATTTTATCATCCTTTTATCAAGATTCAAGGGTAAGGTAAAGAGGATATATGTTTCAGGAATTGGAGTTTAAGTTGATCTTGAGTAGGGAGAAACTGTTCTGGAACACTCCGTGCTTTATTTTTCTCTCTGCTGTTTTTTCACGAAAAAAGGTTGGAGGGCAGAGTTGAAAACACAAAGAAAAAGAGAGAAAAAAAGCCTGTTCTAAAATTCTGCCTTTCGTCAGGCGAGACCTTCATAATAGCTCGCTGAGGGCCGTATTTATTATTGAGTTTTGACTACATAATGAATGAAGCAAAACTATAAAGAGATGCCTCTCTATAATACGCACAACACATTTGATACTTGACAAGTATCCATTTTGTGAGTTGTGACTCTAAGTCACAGAATCCTTCGTGGTCCCTCGTGTCATGTAGTTGCTGATCAGCATTCAGGAGCTTGGTGATCTAGAATCTTTCACAAATCCTGAATATGTTATGGGCCAAACTTTGTGCTCTGTGCTCATTGCCACTGCTTCATCGAAAGAAAATGCCTTATCACCTTGTACCACATATAATACATGTCCCCAAAGTACACCCATATTAAAGAACTGCTGGAACTAGGAATTGGGGTTTTGTCTATAAAACTGATTCAGAGCTGGACTTGGGAAGGAGTGTTCCATGAATATTAAGTGGAAAAGAGTCAGCAGCTATTATGCTATGTCCACGGAGGGCAGAATAAGAGATGATTTTAAGTGTGGGAGAGAGGAATTAGACTGAGGTATACATAATTTTTAAAAAACGATCAGGGCTGCAGAGAACGTTGGCCTCCCTACAGCTCTCACAGCTGAGTTCTCTAGGTAAAAGAACCCAAGAGAACATCTGTTCATTTTTCCTTATATAAACACATTCCTATGAGAGCCAAACCAAAGCAAATAAAATGGAACAAAAACAGGATCTTCTAGCTCAGGTGTCCCATTTGGGAGTGGATGTGAGGACTGGGTAGCTCCTAGAAGCCTTCTGAAAAAAGCCAACTATGGGAAGTGACACAGGCTCAGGGACGCTACTTCCCTGAGCCCAGAGGAATCATCCCTCTGTCTGGAACAGAGACAGGGGCCTTTCCAACCCTCCCAGTTCTCTGTGACCTTATTGGTGGTGTCTGGCTGCATTTGACTATGTGGCTCTCTCTCTCTCTGTTTACCGTTTGCTGAGTATGAGCGAGTCGTCTGTGTTTTTTCTTCATGGCTACAGTTTTTATTACACTTGTCCTGGCAGGAGCTAGAACAGAATTGTTATTTACTAGAGTTGTCCCGGGCTGGAGGTCTCTGGTTTGAGAAGACTTTTTTTTGTTGCGTTTCTGTTAATTTTTGTTTTGTCTTGTTCACACTCTCCTGGAGTGACCCCAGGTAGCTCCGCGTGTACACATGAGCAATGCCCTTTCCACGTCTGTAAAATTGGAGGGGGTGGAACGTGGCCCATCGCGGTATGATTCTAAACAGGAAGAAAATGAAATATAAAAGAACACACCCTATTAAGTCATAAAATCCCAAGCTAACGAGGCAAATAGAGTCACCACAGACATTATGTTTTTGTTTTTTTTTTTAAATTATCCAGTTAAGTAAACAAAGGAGGTAATGAAGTCATGAGGCACCTAACCCACTTTGCCCTAAATCTGGCAGATGACCTCTTCGAAGAGGACGTCCTGCTCCCCCATCAGTTTCTTTGGCCTTTATAAATGAATGAAAGTGAGAAGACTTTGTAAGGAAGGGGTGACATTTTTAGCTAGCGTAGCTTTCGATCTCAGTAAAACATAGAGCATATTGATGACCACATTTTAAATGTGATCCAAAGCTTAACCCAGTGTATTCTGAACTCCAGGCTGGTTATAAGACATAGTTTCTTCCTTCTTCTGGATGTAGCATAAAGCAAACTTTACCATAAACCACATATCATAGAAGTTTTAATCTGTACTAGACTCAAGAAATGAGTTTGTTCAACTACCTCTTTTTTTAAAATAAAGGTCTGGAGCTTGAAACATTACCTGTCTTCCTAAAAGTCACCTAGATAGTTAGTCAGGGTGAAGCTAACATCATTTGACATATTCCTGTAGGTTTCTCCTTTCTCATGCTATATGTCATCATTTTTTGGCTAGCAGCTGAAGTCTCCCTGTCTTGGGGGACTAGTTTAATGTTCAAAGTGAGTTTATTACTGCTCGTAGCCAAAAGACCTTTTTAAAATACTAATTTACCTAAAATAGCATCCATGAGGCTTTAGGTATTTCTGTGGCTTCTTAAATCTGGGAATAGTCAGGACAGCCTCCTCATCTGTAAGTCCTCGTCGTAGTCTCATGATATGTATGTGTTTCGTGCAGCGACCATGAATGCAGGGGCTAACGTGAGGTACTTCTGGTGGACCCAGCCTCATCGGAGGAAATCTGAGTGCAGATTGTCTGGGAGTTCATGGGCCAGCAGGGGTCCACGCTGTAGTGTTTCCTACAGATACACGTGACGTGGAAATGAAGCCTTTCCATTTCTCCCTCCCCTTTTCCTCAAAGGCCTAACCCCAAGGGCCGAGCCCCTTCTCCTCACTTCTTGCAGAAAAATTCCTTTGTCTCTAAGGGAATTGAATTCTGGCAAAGAAGCTACTAAAATTGAGACCTCGATAATTCGGTTTGGAACTTTTGTAAATAAAACGAATGTGTGAAGACCAGATTTTTCTTATTCTTTGACTGACTTTAAATTTTTCTCCAGTGGATTTACATTATAATAATAGCCAATATTTAGTACCGATGAGATAGGACCTTTATTATCCCAGTTTTACAAATGAGGAAACCGAGGCTTGGGAACTGGTCCAAGACAAACACTAGTAAATGACAGCCAGGATGCCACCTCGGGTCTGCTGATAAACTTAACCACTTGCCAAACTGCCTCCTATCCCTTGGCGCCTATGTTTCGGGTTTAATTCACCACTGGCCTCCTGAAGAGTAACTTTTTCAACTATCCTATCTCAAGAACAAGGCAAACATGTTAATCAATGAGCATTAGAGAAACAAAGAGAGGGACCACTCACTGCAGATGGCTCAGCTTTTAAAGTTATTCCGTTTTGATTCAAATCTCTTGACCGGTATGAAATACAAACAAATCTTCACCAGGGCTTTCTCTGTCATTGCCACGCCTCATTCTAACAAAACGTTAAAACTTTGGTCCTTACATTTGCTTAAACCCTCAAACAGCCTGAAGTAAGACTTGAGTAACCCATGTTTCTCTTCTTTTTTCCTTTCTGCATTAGATTTTCATGATAAACCTCAAACGCAGAAAAGATAGGCGGGACCGGATGTTACGCACCCTGTATGAGCAGGAGATTGAGGTCAAGGTTGTGGAGGCCGTTGATGGAAAGTGAGTCTGCTTTTTTTTTTTTCTAAAACCCTTCCAGATGTGCTCGGAGTGGCGACGTACCCTCTGACAGAGTGGTTCGGGGTGGCAGGGATGTGCGGTCATCAGAATATAGGCCCATTTTTATAACAGCCATGTGCAGCTTACTTTGAGAGAAACGTGACTTGTAGTGGAAGCTAATTTCACCGTGTAGAGCAGATCTGAAGTCCAGTCACCGTCCAGCCATCTCTGGTCTTCGTTACGCCGAAGGCTCGCACTGGAGATGATGTTCTCCCATCTCTTGGGGTTCTTGTAATGTAGGGATGGTTTCCAGCTTTCCGTAGTGTATTGGAAGGAATGCATTCAGAGTTGCATTCAGAGCCTGATTTAAAACAAACTGTTCATCATTTGTTAAACTTGGGCGACCTGAAGAAAATAAATGGAAAAAGTACATAACTGTTGCATGAGATCTGCCTGGGCTGATTACTTTTCCCAAGAGTATGGCAGGAAAGTCACACGGGGTACGGGTTAGATTCCTTCCAGAGTTCTTGTTAATGACGTCGTGATTTTCTCTTGTTTTTCTTTGCTTTGCCCTCTTATTTGACACCCTATTTCAAGACATACATTTTTGTAAAATCTGCAGTTTTATGTTGTAGGTTAGTTTGGAATATGAATGTTTCTAACAAGGATGGCTAGAAGCTGTTGTGGAAATTCTTATGACTCCTTTAGAGAATTTCATCGGTGTTTCTCAAAGTGTGGCCTGGACCCCATGGCAGAGTCCCCGGGGGCCGGTGAGAGGGCAGCTTCCTGAGCCCCATCCTGAAACATGATCTCCAGGGCTGCCAGGAATCTGCATTATTTAGACACTTTGAGGTGATTTTCTCAGATAATATTGCCACATAAAATATAGGACACCCAGTTAAATTTGTCCCAAACATTGCGTAGGGCTTCCTTATACCAAAAAATTATTCATTGTTTTATTTGAAATTTGTATATGTCAACCTACTGCCTTCTGGTTTCTAATGAGAATCACTTATTAATCTTATTAAGAATACAGTTGACCCTTGATCACTGTGGAGGTTAAGGGCGCTAACCCTCCCCAACCCCGCACAGTGGAAAATTCTAATGTAACTTTTGGCTTCCCCAGATCTTAACTACAAATAGCCTACTGTTGCCCAGAAGCCTTACTGATAATATAAGCATTCAATTAACACATATTTTGTATGTTATCTGTATTATACTATATTCATACAATAAACTAAGCTAGAGATAAGAAAATGTTATTAAGAAAATCGTAAGGAAAATACATTTACAGTATTTATTGGAAAAATTTCTGAGTATAAGTGGACCTGGAACAGTTCAGATCCAGGTCGTTCAGGAGTCAGCTGTAGTTTATGTGGTGATTCACTTCTCTCTTACTGCTTACACGATTCTTTCTGCTATTTCTGTTTTTAACCTTTTTTTAAAAAATTTAGGTCCAAAGAAAAGACACACACACGTACACAATTCCTCTCCTTATTCCGTCCTGTCCTTATTCTTGCCAGTATTTAATGCTCTCATTAAAACCACTTTCCTTCATTAGGAAAACACTGTTTCAAAGTTGTCAAAAAAAAAACAAAACAAAACAAAAAAAAACCCGATGATATTTAGAATGATGGTGCATTTTATGAGGAATACACAAAATATAAGACACCCTCTTGTTTTCACAAAGCTCGTAACGCCACCACGACACGTTAACCCTGAGGAACACCTAAGGAATTATGGGAAACCTGTGGATAAAGGCCTCTGGGAATATACCGAACTCTCCTTCTGGCTTCGGAGATGGGACCATCTCAACGTGTTCGTTTTCTCTGTCCTGCAGGGCACTCAACACAAGCCAGCTGAAGGCCCTGAATATCGAGATGCTGCCCGGATATCGAGATCCCTATTCCTCCAGGCCTCTAACCAGAGGCGAAATCGGCTGCTTTCTTAGCCACTACTCTGTCTGGAAAGAGGTAAATAACGCTGTATTTAGACTTGCAGCTTTGTAATGAGGAGGGAAGAGTGTGGGACTCTGCAGGTGAGTTAGGGCCAGACCCGTAACTGTTCTGGAATTACGCCTGGAAGTTGCTGCTGTTGCTTCGTGTCTTCCTCTGAGATGAGGCCAGCAACAAATAAGGAGGGCTAACCTGGGTGCCAGTTGGGATGATGGCGGGAGAAGATACCTGAGTTCTGGGGGCCACACTCCTATCGATGCATTCTTATCCTTGGTAGGAACGCCTTATTCATATCTAGCATGTCTTCATCTATTAAATGATTTCATACAGGAAGTCACGCAGAAGACATGGGAGCTGGGTCAGGAGGGATGGGGCCATTTTACCCAAGAAGAAATAAATATGCTGTCCAGGCGAGAAGTGGCGGGGGCAGGACTTAAACCCATACCTTACACATTAGACATTAATGGGGTGCCGTTGGAGCCTAGGCTTCCTGATTAGGGGACGATTCTCATAAGAAAAGAGAAGGTCTCTAAAGAAGGACCCCTTGAATGCCTTCTCTCTTTGAATGATCCAGTCTATGCCCATCTTTTCTTTTTCTCTT